TAGTAACGCTATCCATTACGTAAAGTGGTCCGTAATAATAAATTTTAATTATTTACCTGAAAATTGCGTACATGACCTAGCGGGCAGTTATCGCTGCATAAACTTCGAGGGATATGAACTGGTCCAGTTCCTGTCGCCCATCTTGTTATATTAATGTCAAGCACCAGTCTGAAGAAAGTTCGAGAATTCCTTATTAAAGGATTTCGTTAAAAATTTCATTATTAGTAATATTATAAGAACATTTTTCACTGTTTATTTGCATCGCGAGATTCTGTAGAATTGTAAAGTTTTACTTACTCTTCTTTCCATGTACCAATGAGAACGTAATCAAAACGACCGTCTTCTTTTCTCTGGTATTGGTATATATTATAAAATCCATACGCATCACCGTCGGACTTAAATTTTATTTCGGTACCCTGACGACCTGAATGTTAATTAAACAAAGTGAAAACACACAGTTGTTCGTCGTTTATAATGTCTAGCGATTATATCTAATTTTTGTTAAACTTTTATAAGGAAATTTAAACAAAATTTTAGTGTATTCTGAGTATAATTTTAGTATCGTTAGGATGTTGCCTAAATTTATGAAATTTATGAAATTTATTAAATGGTATAATAACAGACAGCATTGATTTGTATTTAACGATGTGAGATGAAAATTAGTATAATACAGATATCGCTTACCGATAAAACTAACATTTCGAATGTGTTGAAGCAATTGCTGACCACTGGGTGCCGGGCGAAGTTCTTCGCACAAATGGTGACTAATTCCAAAGTTATTCACGCATTCTTCTTCGATTAAATTATGAACACCGTGTGCCATAGCATAAACGGCATCAACTGAAATCAATTACACATAATGGATTAATACGTTGATACTTTTGTAATGCTTAAGTGAGAGTATTTAATCTTTATAGAATTAAGAATTCTATGAAAACTCTTCATCTCTCACCGACAAACGGTACCAATCCTTCTTGTTCGTAATCAATTAATTCCTCGGTGCCAGTACAGCGTGTTACACTTGCAGTCGAATTTGTATTGAAACTGCATTTATGATGTTGAGACCAAAATTCGCGAAACCAAATGTTCCGACAGTTCACTATTTTCCCAGGTAGCTGTTCGTGTGGCACGTTACTCTCACTTTGACCTCCGCACTCGTTATCCATTCTTGGACGAAGATTTAGATAGTAATTGTCGAAACCTATAATTACCATTTGTGGACAAGAAAATACGTTATGCCTTGGATAAACTATCTTTGAAACTGACAGAATATGTAAAATATGATAAATCTAAGTTTTTCGCGCTCAACTTCATTTAAAAGTCATAAAAGAATATGTGTTTTTGTCCCACCCTGTATATTCCACGAACCATCTACACACGCGAATATGCGAATATACGGGTCTATTAAGCAAATATATAGAAATAAACTGAACTCTGTTAATTTACCTAGAAGAGATGTTCTGTACGGTAATATTGTGATTGCACCTTCTGCAGCAAATTCTTGATCTCTCACGGGGTACACTTTCGCACCCCATGAATCACTGCCTATCCACATAAAATGCCCCGTACGATTGGCTCTGACAGTTGCAAGAAGAAGCTTTCTGACAATAATAAATCGAAAAGACAATGATTCCTTTACCGAGCGATTACATAGAATGTATATTAAAAACGACGCTAAAAACGGGAATAACTGAATATTTCACCTTATATTATCCTCATCGACGAACAGAACGATGCCTCTGGCGTTATGCTTCGAATTCAGTCGTTCGACGATTTTATCGAAATCTTCAGTTTTTGAATTTCTCAAGATCTTCTCACTAACGGCTACGCAGATACCGTATTCCATGGACAAGGAAATAAAACTAGCGATACCCTGCGAAATAGACAACGTGCCGATGATTGTCGATATAAAATTTCATTGCTGAAAAAAATGATCGAAAAATATCTTCCAATATTAGCGATGAAGTTTGCATTCTAAATACCTACCTATAGAGTCGATGTTAGTTTAGTGAGAATAATTTAATCACCTTTTCTCCATAATCACCTTCAACTGCTACTGTAGAAACGTACTTCCATCCGAGTTGGTGAATAATTTCAACCATCGCTTGGGCTTGAAAATTATCCGGTGGTACCACTCTGCTGAAGTATTCGAACCGACTTTTATCCGAAAGTTCTGTGCTTGTTGACGCATAACTTATTTGTGGTATCTACAAGCACGGTAATCATCTTTTGCTGTTAATATTGCACCGTTAAGAATTTCGATACTAACGATTGTGACCTATTGTACAGTCGATGGAAGAAATATAGCGAGGTCGTGAAATTACATGTTCGAACATATCGACAAGCGAGTCGACAGAATCCTGAGAAAATAAGGATTAGAAATCTTACTTATTGTTAGTCAGAGCTGCATCAAGTATTTATGCTTTAGCTTTGATTCTGTTGTAATCGAAAACGAAAAATGCTGTATTAAACCTTGGATTTTACTGTACCAATCGGTGTCGTTACTTAATTTTCTAATTTATGACTTCTCTATATTTTTTCCACTGGCTATATTTGACATTATGCAATATTAATGACTATCACATGTTAGTCAAACTTTGGAGCGAATTTGCAGTGATCAAAGGCTAGAATTTATCATTTATTTATTGAATTATTTATTTAGTATTTATCATTGTTACAATTAATAATCATTTATCAATTATTCCTTTGTCATTCAACATTTCTTGAATTTAGATCACTGTACTACGAACTCGACGGGTAAAAATAGTATTTTTATTGCACAATAGATCCCCTCTCTCCTTTTTATTAATGTTATGCAGAGTACGTCAACATCGCGGGATAAACAAAGGTATGCAAAATTGTTTGGAATAAAAAAAAGAGAAAAAGAAATCGAAAAACTTAATATTTCGCATTTCTTGCATAAACTAGAGCATCCGACACTCGCGTCGCAAAATGTTTTTACGCTCGGTGAAGTTGACATTTTTTTTATACGCACATGTGCGTCGTTTCTATATTATGTAAATGCGTTTGAAGTTTCACGCTGAAAGAAGCGTACACGATGCGGTACACAGAACGGTATTAAAATGATTACACAAATGCAAAACAGATCTCTCGCTATTCTTGGTAAATTATATGCAGAGTGACGCAGTAATTGCGGCACATACAGACAGAGGGTGATTTCTCATGAAAAGAAGAAGAAAAAAAAAAAAGGTGACGAAGTAACGGAATAAAGATTTTACCTAGGAAACCTAGTTTTCCAGAAAATCAATTTCAAAAATTCGTTCCATAGACGTACGAAGCATACAATCACCCTCCTCCCGCTTTTAATATGATTACTGGGAGGATCCTATATAGGTGAATATCTCTCCATTTTCTATATTCACGCGTACAATATTTATTTGCCTACAATTTTCTAACGAAACGTTCATTTCAGAACTTCATACAATATTTCTTCCTTATTTTTATCTAAAGAATAGCAGCTCGTCCAAAATAACTTAGAACACCCTATATATATATGTTGTCTTTTTTGACTAAAAATAGGTATAAAATATTTGTTCGCAGTATGTCAGGTAAACATTCAAATTTTCCATATTTTAATACAGAGTATCGGAACGAAGTTGAGAGATCACACGGAAATATTTTCTTATAGAACAAGTATCGGGAGTGTGGAATTTTTCGCATTTTAATCTGCTCCCTTTGTACGCGTTTTCCTTGAGCATCGGATCGAAGAACATGCTTTTTCGTCTAATGAAAGTTCTACTTCCGGAGACTATTGTGCAGCCTCGAGACGGTACACGCACACAGAGAGGGAGCAAGGAATATGTTAATAAGAATGAAAAGCACTGACCTTGAATAATCGGAGAATATTGGCCACCATAATGGAGACTACACTGAACGAAGCTCCTATAACGCCTGTCACAGGTTTATGGGGCACATACATAGGCGGTTTGTCGTTTTCACATTTATATTCGGATATATCCTGGGAACGAATAAAAGATACGTCACTCGCTTTGTAATTGTTTGTCTACTTGTCTATTGTTGTTTCGTCTATTTGTTTGACAGTTTCGATGAATCGAAAGCTGCAGTGGCGGAGTATCTGCAGTGTTTTTCACAGGACTACAGAGTGACGCGAAATAAATCACCCGATCTCCTTTCGTTCCATATTTCCGAACAAATTTGAGAAATGATTTACCGCGATTTTGTATTATATTTTGAATTTTGTTGTAATTATCAATGAAACATATTTGTCAGCAGCAGTGACAATGAAAATTAACCCTTTGCTTCGTAACGATGAATCAAACTCGGCCAAAATGTGACTAAAGAAGAATTGCATTTTTGTTAAATTTGTATGCTTGCACCAATTTCAGCTTCAATTCAAGCCTGACAATTACCAAATACAAATTCCATACAATATTTTCACTTGCATTTTAATTCAACGCTGCATATGAACGGCGAACAGCCGAAACTAGCGATTAAAAAATCGCAAAGCAAGGGGATAAACAAATGTGAAGCCACCGCTTTCAATGTAGTCCCTTTGCGACTACATAAACGCATTCCAGCGTCGGATCCATTGATCCTAACATTTCTAGTATTCACTTTCTGCTACCTGTTTTAATACCTGCATTGCATTACTTCGAATTGCACAAAATGACGGAAAATGCGTTCTTTTCACGGATAACTTTCTATCTTTTCAGATTTTTACTTTTCCCTTTCGTTTCTCACGAAGAGAAAAATAAAGGAATTGATAAGTACTTACTTGGTTCATATAAGAGCGGACAAATTCCATGCTCTGATCGAGAGCATAAGTATCGCTGCTGCAGGAATCGAGAATGAGTGCACCTAAAGTGGTGTTAGGCAATAAATCATCGTCCGAATTAATCTCGTCGAGAACATACAACATTGCCTCCAAACGTTGCATTCCTTTTTCCTCTTTCACTGCACCGCATGGCGACTGACCCATAGAACCAGGCACCTATGGATAAGAATACGGCTGTGTGTAAATAAAGTATGTATCAAATGTATCTTCGTTGTGCTCCGTAACCACGCTTCCGTCCAAGTGGATTTTTAGATATGATTATAGTGAAACTGGCAGTTCGAGGATTTAATTTACGACCTCGCTATTTCGTGGACCGTACTATACGCAGAAATTCTGTATTTCTGCGACCATAAAGCAATTTCTAGACTCCGATTTCTGGTCCTAACTGTCAACTGCGACGTAAAAGTTTTAATAAAAAAGTCCCACAAATAACTTTGCCGGACGTCCGTGTCGTAAATCTAATCCACTTAACAATTATTGTAACCTTTCAGCGGGGACAGGAGAAATGATAAATATACGGAATATGTAATATGTGAAAGAGTAATAGTCAGTCTCAACATTGTGAGAAAAGCTACGAAGACTCGTATGATAATTAATATAATTGTGAGAAAAGTTATAAAGACTCGTATGATAATTGATATAATTGTGAGAAAAGTTATAAAGACTCGTATGATAATTGATATAATTGTGAGAAAAGATATAAAGACTCGTATGATAATTGATATAATTGTGAGAAAAGATATAAAGACTCGCATGATAATTAACATAATTAATCAGTGATTAAACGGAGATTCAGATCTTGAACAGGTAGAAAATAGTTTATGTCATCCTACGTAAGAAAGAAGAGAAAAAGTACCTCGATAATTAATAAAATCAAGATTTAAATAATAAAATCTGTAATAAGTATTACGAGTCGATTCTGTGGACGTAATACGAGGGATTTAACTGTGTCTTAACACAGTAAACAAGAAGAAGAATATAGTCATCTACTGGTAATTTGTCTTAAACGAATAATAAAACAGAAAATTGGAACAGATCGAAACATACGTATGTTACGACAAAAAAAATTAATTAGAAAAGCATATTTAAATGTCACGATTGCTTTTGCACAAATAATTCAAACTGACCGTCATCATTGAATAAATAAAAAACGAGCGGAACGTTTTAACGGTGAACGGAGATTATTACTGTGAAATGCGTCATATTACTACCGCCACACCTGCACAGTTCCATTTGTTTTTTTTTCATTAATCAGTCTGGCAGGTATTAAGTGAATCTCGAGGAGATGATTGACGTTCCGGTAAAGCGTTTTCACAGTGATACTGTAGATTACATCCGCTACGAATATAAGTGTTCCCCAAGTATAACTTATGTGTTAAGAAATAATCGATGATTTATTTTTAATTTATTAAATACACTATGCTTTACGCAAGAAACGTAGAATACGATATTAAAAATGTAAAATACAGTAAAGTTTCTCTGAATATTTAACTGAAGAAATAAAGGAACAGAAGATAAAAAGATAGGCAGAAAAATTTCGAATCGAAAATTAGCGAAATATCGCATAATGGAACGTCTTCTAGAAATAAACGCGGAGGAGTATTTAAATCCCAGTGGGACCGTGATCACGTTGAGTAGCTTCCTTTCGTCTTCAATAGATTTACAAACATTTCAGAGAAGAAACTACTGTCTTCTCTAACGAGAAAATACGACGACTTTACCGTATTTTGTAATTACTAAGAAATCGATCAATCAGTGTTTATTGATTCTTCCGTCGACAATTCGCGTGGACAATCACAGAGTGTGTATAGACTTTGCTACTGGCAATAATGGGATGTTCAGCGCACGAACATATTTGTGCAAAGTCACGGTGTATGACTTTGTAGATTACATATTCTGGCACATTTGCCAGCTGAGAAGGACATTAATCTTCTCCGCTTGAAAATTCCATAAAGCCGGTTCTGATATGCCCTTGTGAATTTCTTTATAAAGTGTCGCAGAGTCATTTACCAAGTTGATAAGAATAAACTGAGAATCGATGATTCCACCCCTGCTACAAGCCACCCTAATATTTGTCGATGTAGACGAATTGCCGAGCTTCAGAGTAATATTTTATTATTTAAAATAGAAAAACAAGGTGAAATTGCAATTGAGGCCACTTATGGAGAAAATCCGTAAGTCATGGGACACCATTTGACCGTTTTACAATAAATCGAGTTCAGATGAAGGATTTAGTTATTTATTCCGATACGGCTGGTGTTTTATTATAATTAATACAAAAAACTGAAATATTTATAATAAGGTCCAACACCGGAAATTGTCTGCGTCTAGCGTCACAAAAAGATATTTCAACATTAAAAAACTATACTCGGTGCAAGTAATCTGTAAATAATCGTTTAATTTAATAACGCGGGTGTTTAACAGCGTTAATTTAAACGTAAAGCTGAAATTAGTAGGTGTCCCATGATTTATGGACCGGGCTGTATGTAATATATCAAAAATAATTACTTCTCTTTTGAATTTAATTGCAACGACTTTCTATTAAATAATACGCCAACGAAAACTTCGAAATCGATTTTCTTGAAATGGAATTTCAGGGTATGTGCCTTTTTCCCAATCAAAGGCCTCGATTCCTTTATCCTTCATCTTCACCCCTTGAAATATCTCTCACCTGTTACCGAACAGACGAACCGTGAATACGAATGCAGAAAAGACGGATCACCCTGTATATATAAAAAGGAAATCTATCGTCCATCGGTATTACGAAGTGTGGCTTAAAGAATGTCGATCCACTTCCGGAATTTCTACATTGCACGGATTCTGGTGTATCGGTCGAGTTCACCACGGATATCACAGTTATATCATCGGGAAATGGAGTTATGATAAGGGGAATAGTATTGGGTACTGTAACACTTTACGGATAGGAACGAGGTTACGATGGTTTCTTCGATGTGCAAAACTTTATCCCACTTTTTCCTGTATTTTTTTTCATAAAGAAACATCCCCAATTGTACAACGATCCGCTGGGACACTCTGTATAGGAAATCCGTAGCTCATTATCTGTGTTGTTCGATGATCCTTAGCTAGATTCTCTGTCTGACCTTCTATCTCTTCTATTCAGATGGAGTCTGCGCCTTTATGTTTATGCCTTCCGTTATTTTTTTCCTGCTGGTCGAAGAGGAGCCGCGTCGTTTCTGAGATAATTTGCGATGTGTTCGTACTAATTGACGATTTTTTGTAACGACTGTTGGTAATTCTCAGTAGCTACTTCTTAATTTGTAAATTCTTATTCGTATCCTGCTGCTTCTTCGGTGGGCTTTATTTCTCGTGGTTTTCAGTAGAATTAGACGTTTCCTGACGAATGTCTGACGGTTGTTGGATAAAGCACGGACGTCACATCTGGACCACTTGATGTTCCGGGATTGCAGGAAAAGATCCTTATCTCAAGTTGATGCTTATTCCACATCTTGCAATTTCATCGCGAGTTCGCAGATGTGTAAGTACACACATGCGAGGGTGGTTTTTGCATATGTTCACGTATTGTTCACTAGAGAGGAAATATCCCGAGTTTCCTCGATTGATTGACAGATATCCTGTTCTTAGTTTGACGAATGTCAGAGTGGAAACGTCGGGAGAAATGGTTTGACACGAGAGGTAAGGGCAGAGATCATGAAATTCGAAAAGTAGTATTCTGTTGTAGAAATTTGCAACATTTCGTTTAATCACACTCGGTGTAATTCTTCCGTAAAGTATGTCGTTTATGTTAACAGAATTTATTCGATTTATACGATGATACCATAAAAATAGTAAATTTGGTATATATAGCTGTAATTTATGATCATTTTTAGAAAGATTGTCACGATAACGGACTGTCTGCAATATTACCGATTTTTTTATTTACTTTTCAATGTAAAAGTCGTAATTTTTCAATTTTTCAATTTTTAAAAAATTTTAAAAATTATTTCTACATTAACTATTACAGTGCAATGAGGGAAACAGTAGAACTTGATACTCTAGTCAGTAATAGTACCGAAGAAAAGAAGCTGAAGTCCATAACAAGTAGAATAAGAATAGCTTTATGTCAGACAGTTGCGGCTAGAACGAATTTCAGTAGTCAGTATCAATAATACCCGAACCACTGAAAGGAAACTGTCTTGCACTGTACAAAACACTGTCAGATTTCACTTAGCATGGTTTAATATTATGTTTCACATTTACGTACACTTGGTTGAATTTAAAAATACTCCAAATTAGCCTAAACAACGAGATGCGGTAAAAATTTGACGTACTTAAGTCTGACAATTTCGCGAGTAAGATTTAAAGTTCGTTCCTGCGAATAATCTCAGGTATTTAATTTCACGAAAGATTATGCTTTGCAAATTTGCAATTTAGCTCAGTACAACTGTCTCGAAATTTGCAATTTAGGAGAATACAACTGTCTCGAAATTTGCAATTTAGGAATGCAATTTTCGCGAAACTTTCAAAATGTAGCAATTAAATTTTACGACGACGCAACGAAGCCACGAATACAGTAGAATTTTACTACTTCACATCTTACTCTTCTACGTGGATTTCATATAAGATTCGATGGAAATTTACCTGCTCGTGCATAGGGAATATTCCACCGAGGATTACGTCACCGTTGATGCGTATTAGTTTCGAGCCGTCTTCGTCGCGTCCCTTACGATTGTGACACTCACACACAATAAGAGAATATGACACCCATGTTAAAATTTTCCCCAAGCTCATCTTGCTCAGTTGAAGATTAGATTGCCCTCTGACACCTAAAACATAACAAAAACACGATTTTCTTCTGTTGCAAGTAATTAGCTCGTGCAAATTCGCTACAAAGCGTTGATACAAATTTTTCTTATACATATATATATATATTTGATGTCTGTGAAATTTAACTCTTGTGTGTTTTTACAAGTTGATTAAATTTTTAATACGCCTTTCTTTTAATATAATTTTACAATCTCGCTCTTTAACACCCAAAACATAACAAAAACACGATTTTCTTCCATTGCAAATTTTTCTATCCTTATTCTGTGAAATTTAACTCCTGTGTGTTTTTTCAAGTTAATTAAATTTTCAGTATGCCTTCCTTTTAATATAACTTTACAATCTATCGTTTCAGCAAAGTGTCCTTTCTTTTGCTGCCACTGTTTTTTCCTTTATTTTTTCCAGAGACACACCTTTAGCTGGTCGACGATTACTTTAAAAATGTCTATTGTTTTGCTTGATACTGCCTGGGTTCATTTAGCAGATTCTTTCTTGTTGCACGAACGAATTGATAATGTGCCAGTTTCTTCAGATTTGTGCCAGTGATATTCGTTTAAAGTTCCATTTTAGCAGGGGATGGTAATCGTGCGATTTGTGACTTTTGTCTCGATAGATTAGATTAATTAGCAAGTGGTTGAATCTCGTGTAGGTTATTCGATATAATCGACTCCAGGTATTGTACTAATCTGTTGCTAATAGCGTGAACATCTTCTAACTACGTCGTAATTCTGTGAACACGTTTAAACACTATGCGACGCTGAATTTGATGGACACCCGGTAACGAATGAAACAGACTGAACAGCCTGACACACGCTCTAAACGCAATTTTCGCTATTTGAACTTGTTGCAAATTCTCAGGTAATTGCATATCCTTAAGATCAAATTTTTGAAAAGCCACTTTGCGGCAGGAATTAACGGAGTGACGTAATAAACTGCAAGAAAACAGTTTTACTTTGTTTTAATCGAAGAAGAAAATACGTTGTAAATTAGAACTTGAGAAAATTCTGTTTTAAATTTGTGAAAATTCTTTTGTAAATCTTAATAATTTGGCAACGACTGTTTAGCTTTGTTTCGCGTTCAATAAGTGTCTTGATACTTATAAACAAGAGTGTATATAGTATAATTGTAGTACAATGTTCGACAACTTGATTACTTTCTTCAACAAGCCCATCTAAATTCGTTCTCCTTTAGCAGAAAGCATTTGCTAATTCGTTAATTTGTCGTTTACTCTTACGTTCAAAGTGATAACGAAGATGTATTCAGAAACAGGAAACGACAGACGTGCATTTGATATATAGACTCGTCGAATGTGATTCAGCCGAAGCAAAATGTCTATACGCGGATCGTTTCCCCAATAGACATCTGCCAGATAAAAGAACATTTCAAAGACTACACGCACTTGCACAGTATTGGAATACAAAAATGGCTATAACTCGGGAACGAGATCAAATAGGGCACATCTTTCTATGAACTTTTTTCATTGTTTTTGTGTCACCCGTTGAAGTGGATACCACATGTTGAGAAACAGTTTGTGTATTGTTGCAACGATCGTTCCACTCGCAATATGATAACGGAATAATGGAAAAGAACATTTATGTATCTTTTAACCCGGTCGGGTCAAAAGTGACCCGTTAGCGACTCTCCAAAAGTGAATTTTTGCGCGACTAAAAAGTGACGGAAAAAATAAATTCGTACCGAGGCAAATAGGAGTATAAATGCGGAAAATATAGCCGGAAAATTATCAAATCATAATAATTATAAAAAATAAACCAGTATAGAATATTCACTTTTTTTTTTTGGAAATGCTTGCTAATTGGTCATTTCGACCAATTAATGGAAAGAAAAATAACGCTATTTTTTACACTTTCTCGTTGTTGTCACCGATATTGCACACATTGAGAACCGAGCTAGCCTACGTCAGATAAAAATCGAATAATTACACTGGATCACTTGCCTCTCCGATTTAATTATCCTGACCTGATTTCGAGACAGTGACAATAAAGTAACTGGACACTGTTCTATCCGTAAGAGAAAACAAATGTAACTGTAAAAATAACAAAGCAAGAGAAAATATACGAGCCTGTTGCTATTACATTTCCAATTGTGCAACGATACCAGAGAAAATTTTGCTAGATCTATAGCTTAATTCTCAACTTATCTATTTTAATGCACTGTTTCTTCGGAAAGAAGTTAAAAAGGAAAGAAAGTGAAGCGAAGTGGTAAGTTCATTTAACCGTACTTGGTCCGGTATACTTTTAGCAAGAAGGACGATAAAGAAAAAAGTATAAAACGAGGAGTAGCGAGATCTAATTTAACGCTTCCAAAACTTTTCAGTAATTAAATTTCTTCGGTGGAAGATCAAATACTACAAACACTTTCTTCTTTGAATAGGATGGAAAATATTGAATGTTATTGTACGTCAGAATGTGTATCCCTAACGCACACATTTCTCCCGTGGTATATCACGACTTTATATTCCCCTAGAATTTGCGTAATTTCTCCGCTTTTCTGTATCCAGCACAAGGACATGCTAGTCGAAATTAAAGATAGTATTTCTACGGTCCAAAAATCCATTCAACTAAAATACTACGCCATGCATTAACATTGTATCAACCTTTGTTACTAGCATTTGTTAAATGCGAGTCTTTGTTCAACCACGAATGCCCATTGTGGAGATTAAACATCCTATTATTAATGAGCATTGTTTCATCTCGACGTAAGATTCGAAAACAAAAGATTCTTGACCTGGAGACCTCTTGAAGAATATCTGGTCAGTGAATTTAATGTCGTTGAATGCCTCTCCTCTCTTATCCAAAGATTTGCGCAACCGACAGCCGAAATATACGAGACGTTTGATTTTTCGAAAAATGCGATAATTCAACGATTTGGAAGGAAGCGCAATCGAGAGATATTTCGTGTGGGAAAGCTCGTGAATTCTGATCGATAGAAGCCAGATATGTATTAACATAATACATTTTTCCTTTTTCGCCGACTTTCACATTTCCTTCTTTGGATTTTTAGCTCTTTGGTACCGAAATTGCGCTTTTCTCTCTCGTTTGCTTTTTGGCAAATTTTTTCGCACACTTTTAATTTCATTTAATCCTTCATTTTTGTCTTTTGCACACTTCTGTGTTAATTTAATCCTTAATTTTGGTATTTTGCGCATTTCCATCTGTACTCGGTAAAAAAAACGATAAATTTTAAGTTACAAATAATTTTAATTTTTGTTTTCTGCGCATTTCCCTCTCAATTCAGTAAAAAAAAAAAAAATGAAAAATGATAAATTTTTGTTTTCTTCGCATTTCCATCTTAATTTAATCAAAAAAAATTTGTAAATTCGACCTTATAAAATTCTGTTAAATTTCAAAACGTCGAAACGAGAGACTTTTCGGCCACGATTGAATACCTATCGTCTGTCACGTCCGTTACTAAAGTCCGCCTCAGCGAAAGGGTTGAAGTATCTTCACACATCGATATTGAATTTTGGAAAAGGCGCAAACATTGGTTCTCCTCGATCAAGATACGTTTCACCATAGAATTTTCCAGCTTCTTGACTATTTCGGCTGCAAGAGGTAAATACAAACACTATATGCACTCTAAACATGATCTCGTATCACTTAAACGAGCGATGCGAGACAAATATCTCGCAAATAAAGATACAACGAAGTAACTGATATTTCTAAGCGCGACAAAGTAGCCGATAAACATGAACGAGGACGTGTACTCACGGAAAGTGGATGTTAAAGCTTTCAAACATTAAAACTTCAATACTTTCTCTATTCTTTTTTTTTTTTTATACATCACGTAATGCATTACTTGAAATTGTTTAGCTTTAAGAAAACTTTCTAGCGCTTTAAAACTATAGCTTGACCCATTTGCCTAATACACTTTGTATACTTGTAACAAGTATCGATCGCTACTTAAGCAGAAACGTAATTCTTCTAAGTAAACTGTGATTTTTGGTCAAATAAATATACATACGTGAAATTTCATTTGTAATTTTATCCGATTGACAAGAATAGCGGAACACTGCGAGAAATGAACAATTTAAAGGGACACACGATTGCACATTTGCAAAGATCTCGATAAAGATCACGAAAACGATCGATCTTCGAAGAAAAATCCAACAATCTCTTTCATATTTCTCTTTTCACAAGTTACATTCAACATTTACAAGTGAATTTCATTCACAGGAAGACCTGATGAAGCAAATATGCAGATGCAATTTTCAAATATCTATAAAACTGCTGTCTACACCTTTGACATGTAAATCGTTAAACGACCGATTGCCACTTCTATTCCTCAGCATTCGCAATAACGACGTTCTCGCGTTCCCTTAAATTTTCTTTGGAAACGCGACACTTGCGATTTTTATACGACTGTTGTATTTCATAGCGGACAGCCCGAAATCGCGATAAGCTGCGCTAAACAACAACTGTGAATATGAACGAACTTTTTTATTCGATCGTGAGTAAACTTGCGCGGTTTCGCAGTGGTTTCGCGTGGTTTTCGCGCGGCGCAACGCAGAATTGCGTGTTTCCGCTGGATCTAGGCTGCGAACTGGTTGAAAAATTCGTGAACTCTTTTGAAAATTTGATCCCGTGATTATTCGTGATTAATACTAAGCAGCGATCGTGAGTTTTCGGTGCAGAGTGAATTATTATCATCAGTGTTCTGTGTGAAAAAATGTAGGAAAAGAACAGAAAAATAGTTAAAAAGAGAGGAAAAAACGTTAGCTTCTATATGATTTTTCATGAAAACGACGTCAATGGGTACGAAGCTTTGGGCATGATTCAAAACGTCTGTCAATCAAACTCAATAAAGAGAAGCATAGGCTTCAAGTTGCGGCGGAAATTCAGAAATTCCGGAAAAAATATCGAGAATCTTCACAATGAACTGGAAATAAATTGCAAACGGTATAGAGAAAAAGATGAAAAACGACTATTTCTAATTTAGTTCGAACGAAG